GTCTGTAGTATAGAGTACTACTGGAAGAAGGGTGTTGCAGCCTACTTAAATCTATGAATAAATCTATCTTGAGGATACATATTACCGTATAAGTATGAGGACACTTCTGAGACACATGATTTTTGTAACCACTCTCCCATCTGTGATCCTTTTCACTTAAATTCTGTAAATGAAGAACAACCTACAAAAGCTATTGCTGGATCATTTAGTTTCACATAGAAATTTACATCTCAGTTACTTAATTAGAATCCCAAAACCTTCACTTGTGGTGAATACTCTCCTTTGGTAATTGAGTTCACACAGCTACCGTGTAAAAAAATTGTCAGAAATGCTTCTAAATTATTAACAAATATTTTTAAAATAAAGGGGAAATGCAAAAGCTAACTTTCCAACCTAGAGGTTGTACTATGTGTTGTACTACCTATTGCTTCTAGGAAGACAGCATCAAAGTTGTTGTCAGACATGTAAAAATAAACTTCCCATCTAAGGTTTTACTGTGGACTGGTAACACGGAAATTTTTAGTGAAAAGAAATATTTCAATTCAGTGAATGATTAAAGACATTATTTCCTAAACAAATGCTTAGCATTTGTACATTGAATTTTTAATTAAAATGGAGAAGTCCCAGCACGAGGTTTGGTTTTTTTTTCCAGTTACACTGTTGAAGAAAGTACTAGTATCTGTATTTGAATCACCAGGGTTGTAGACTTTTGTAAACCGGTCCAGATGAAAACAGGTTTGAATTGTGGACGTCTCTTTCAGAATATAACCACCTGCATCCAAAAATGTTAACAAATATCTATTTCAATCTATAAAACCTTACTGTACATACTCAAAATTAGTACTTCTCAAAGGCTGTCGCTCTTCTACATGTCTCACGTTACTTAATAGCTCTTAGAAATGAACGAGAAATGCAGGACAGTATCAAACAGTCTTTGTGCTTTCCTAACACATCTAAATCACATTTATTTACCTTCTTGACAGCGAAATTCCTTAATCTAAATGTACAGGTTTGCATATTTACCCTGAACACCAAGCTACTGCATGTGTTGTGAAAGACGGCTGTAGCTGATAACACTTTGCCAAATCATAGAATCATTTAGGTTGGAAAAGACCTTTAAGATCATCCAGTCCAACCATTAACCTAACACTACCAAGTCCACCACTAAACCAATTAAGGGTACAGTAATAATTTCATGTTTCCTGGCTTGGAAACACACTACAGGAAAAAAAGCCAACACAGCTACAGTACATAAGTGACATAATACTTACTATTTATATGTTTCTGAACGAATGTATTCAAAAACATGAGATACTCCCAGCTGGAACTGGTCAGCAATAGGGGTAACCCAAGGATTGTTCTCCGCTTTGAAGACTTGCTTTTGACCAGTCAAATCCAAATTACCTGAAAGGTATTAAACAGAACAGCATATGAAAAAAAATGTGAAATATGAAAAATTTGAAAGAAATATCTTGCTGTGAATATAAAACCTTTCATTCGTTTCAGAGAGTTGTCATGGTTTAACCCCAGCCAGCAACTAAGCACCATGCCGCTTGTGCACCTGGCAGAGCATGGGAAGCTGAAAAAGTCCTTGACTTAGTGTAAGCACTACTTAGCCACAACTAAAACTTCAGTGTGTTATCAGCTTTATTCTCATACTAAATCCAAAACACAGCACTATGCCAGCTACTAGGAAGAAAATTAACTCTATCCCAGCCGAAACCAGGACACAGTACAACCATAACAAAAGCAAATATTTCAGTCTTAGCAGAGAGGCAAAGGAGGACATAGTAGTTCCCACCATGATGGATGCACTTCCACTCTATTCATTTCACAGTGCTACCACATATTGCACAACAGGATTGAACTCTGCCCACTGCATATAATATTTATTCATCAAATTAGTTTTAAGCAGGGCTTAACAGTGCATAGGTGTTGGGGTGTCCTGCAGGTGAGTAAATTCACTCAGCCTGGGCAGAACAACTGCCGTAGAACTTGGGGCTTCCTGATTCCTAACTCCAAACCTCCTAGCTCTCTTGCAGCATTAAAAGTCTCGCATAACTTGACCATTAAACAAAATCTTCAGGCCTATGGGACAATTCAGCAAAGTGTCCCTCTCTACCATGGCTTGCAGGAATAAAAGGAGAATGACGCTGGCAGTAGGAGTTTGCTCTGCTGAAGCTTAGCATTGCAAAACATTTCTCGATCACTGCTCCACACATAATGTCAACAAGCAATGCCCAACAGGCTTTTTGCCTTCCCAGTGCCCAACGTGTTGTTTGTACCGAGATCCTGCCACCAATCTGTGGTTATAGTTATACTGAGGAAAAACATACAAAAACACCATTCTTGCAACATGCCAGTTTTATCTATTCTGTTGACAGGAAGACTTAAGAGACCTTTTAGGCATTTGCTTGGGGTTTTTTTTTGTTTGTTTGCTTGTTTTGTCAGTGTTTACCACCTCAAACCAAAACAGTACATGCTCTACTGAAACTCCTCATGACTATGGATACAACAGGCTGAATTCCAGGATGGTCTAGCCATTGAAATATTTTCTTGTGTTCTTTAAATTAAAATAAGAAATCTGTGCTACCATTTTAAATTTATTTTTGTGAATTTTATGAAGAGAGGCCTACCCTCCCCAAAGAAATCTAAAATAACAAATAAACAAAATAAAATAATCTTTAACTATGGGAAACAAAGCAAAAAAAATTACAGGGTTTTGAAGAGCAACTGAGCCAAGCTGTCAAAGAAATCTCAAATCAAGCTGATGTGCTAGTTTTTCAAAATTCAAGGCACTCGTGTAAGTAGTACGAACACACATCCATGCTACAGGAGCTGCTGCAAGCTGTATGTTTGCTGGCCATTTCGGTGCATGTTCTATATTTCAGCTAATCCTTGACGCGTTTCTCTCTGTTAAAAAGGGTTAACACAATTAGAGTAAAGACAGGCCATTACACCGTGTGAAAAGATGTCATGCATCTCATACCGGCCTATCAACAAGTTACCGTTACCTTAGCAAGCTCATCTGTCAGCTGTCTGAGGCCTGTTCTTTTGAAACAACAACAGGCAGGGAGCATTTCACCCCTCTGTCAGTCAGGCAGCAATTGCCCTCGCCGCCTCACGCTTCAGTGCGCCTCGTTAGGAGCTTTGCACCCATCTCCTTTTATTAAGGGACTCAGCAGCCCTGTTCTAACAAGGATCAGGAAGCAGGATTAAGTACTGTGACAAAGAGGACCTAATAAGCTCGAAACTGGTGCGTCTAAATCTGTGCTGGCTCAAGGTGCGGGCTCACGCTGCTCGCTATTCAGTTTTCAGGCACAGGCCACTGGGGACACAAGCCAGCACTGTGATTAGCCGTAACCCTCTGACCAGTGCTGCTATGAAGATCGTGTATCACTCAGGGGCTTGCTTTGCAATTGCAAATTGGATTTGCCATTTTATTACCTGCAAGAAACCACACACATTGCTCTCCAAAACTACTAATGCTGTAAGCACCTGTAATTACAGCTCTGCAAGTACTGCATCAAGGTAAAATGATCAATCTGTGTACAACTAATAAAAATAGTTAAATTTGGGGAGGCAAGCTTGGCCTCATCATGGGTCAAATTCAATGCTGCTTACAGCAATAAGTCACGCATTCCCAAAATCTCAATAGCCAGGGTCTCAGCTGAATCCTCTCGTCCGGAGCTGTGTCAGAAATTTACCGCTCAGGGGATGCTTCCATATTTTTCGATCCCCACAGCGTAGCGTGCCCACTTAAACATAATTAATTGTAAGAAATACTATTCTACTAAAGCCAAAGAAATCTTACAGCAAAAAGAGGATTCAAGCAACATGAACTGTAGGTTTCCATGCCAAAGTAATCACTTCATTTTCCTCTGCCTTCTGTCCTTCCCCAAAGCACACTGGGGGCAGGTACAGATAGTACTTTTTACCTGCAGAGGGAAGGGGCAGGCAGAGGCCCTAAGGGTAAAATTAATCTCATTACAGAGAAAAATGGGGCACCCCGAAGTCCATCATCTGCACTGAAATCCACCCCCCCCTGCCCAGGACGCCCCTCTGTGAGCCCTCCTGGCAGCAGCTGGCCCAGCAGCCCGTCCCACCGGCTGCCTACAGCTGGAGCGAGAGGTCAGCTGCCACCTCACAGCCTGGGCTTTTAACTGAAGAATTTAATGACGCATTGTAGTGCGAAAAGGAACTGTCTGCCCTCATGGCAAGCACCAGGCAGAGGGTGGGTGCTCCTCCGCAGGGGAGTGAAGGAGGGCTCTCTCACATAGCGCAGGAAGGAGGGGACACCCGGTGCCTTAAATTCCTCCCTGTTCGATACCTGGAAATGAAGGACACAAATGGGCAGAAAGTTAAGCAGGATAAGAAGTCACGGAGAGCCTGCCCCACCTTACCAGCACTAGGGAGGAAACCAAGTCTAACACTCCTGCCATAAGGCAAGCCACTGGAAAACAAAGAAGCCGTATAATGACAACTGAGACAGGATGAAAACATGTCACTCCTGCACAACCATTGATGGCTTGGGGCCATGTCCTGGTGTCCGTTCTGCCCCTACAACTAAACCACGTGTGAATTGACGGCTTACCTAATTCTGCTCCGGCCGCAGGACATCCAGGAGTCTGAAGCATGAGGCCAAAGTTTCAGGAATGGTACGTGCTCGTGTAACCAAACACACAGGAGCCCTGCGTGAACCCTTCTGCCCCAGTGCGCTGCAACGAGCCCAGCAGTGTGGAACAGATGATCAAACCTGCCTGAAGCGATGGCTCTGGTACCAGGCTCACTGCAGCAGTGCTGTGCAACCAGACACCTTACAGATGCGTCCCTGTCCCCCGCCACCCTTACCAGTCTCCTTGCTTAGACTTTTTTTACAGCAGCACTGTGCTAAGAAATGCTGTTATTCCGTCCCTGCAGCGCTAGAGCCATGGGCCAGGGAAAGAGCCATGGCAGATGCGCCTTTATGCGTATTGTCTAACAGCAGCATCAGCAGAACACTACCCCCAGGCCTTTAGGAAATTTATATCCTGTTCTGCTACACGGATCATGTCAAATCCCTTGGATATTTTTAGTAAGCAAAATACAAAATTGCCTCTAGTAAAAATCCAGTACTGAAATATATTAGGGTTGGAGATTGCATTGGTTATTGCTGGTTTGTTCTTTCCGTGTACATTAGCCTATTGAAAAATATTTGTTTATCATCTCCAAAATTTGGCATAACTAGTAAACTAAAATTGTATTTCTTCATAATGGACTTAAGGTTCTTGCTATTTTGCCATACTGAGAGGGACCAACTCCACTGAAATGCATTACAGTCACATGCCTCTGGCAAGAGAGGAGGAGAAGGCATTCCTTAAGACTAGTCAGCACAGCCCCTTTCCTAGATCACAGAAATGTTTTTCAACTTATTTTTGAGCACTTCTAAAATTATAAATAAATAATCACAACTATATATCCCAGACCCCAGGTCTAACAGGCTTAAAGAACCTAATTTCTAAGCCTGAGGGATACTTTTTTAAAGCGTTCTATCTTGAACAGACATAGATTTCCAAGTAGGAAGAATGCAAAGTGGACATATACTGTTACCAGTGAGCAGACGCCGAACAGAAAACAGAGTCTGGAAAAGAGAGGAGCAGAGATAAAGGTCTAACAGCTGACTGCTTTGGACGACCTGCAGAGAATGACCAAAAACCTTCTAAAAGGAGCCAGCTGTGTTGTCTTAGAAATACCTGATCTTGGCATTTTTTTTTCTGTCTCAGCACTCATTGTATCTAAAGATGATCCTGAACCATTAAGTTTGATTGGATAAGTGTGACTGAACTTCTGTGTTTAACCCACCTTAAAACCAAACTGTTCCTATGCCCAACTAGTAAGCTGTGCAGACCTGAAAACTGTCTGCTGCCCAATCTCTTTTTAGCTGCCACCTGGAAGTGAATAGTGCTACAGTAAATAGATCTACACCAAGACAAACCCTTGAAAATTCAAGGACTAAATCAAAGTATGTATATTTTTAATTTTCATGTATTCTAGCTTATGCCATCCATTGACGAAAAATACCATTTATCACTGTTTAAATTCAGAGCTCCCACAGCCATGGGTGGACAGAAGGGACATCTTGTATGACGGTGGGCACACCCCACCTGAGTGATGTTAAAGGAAAAGGCAGCTACAGTTTGCCTGCACCTCCCTCAAATAAATCTATCCTGCATTTGATCTAAAACATGATAGTTAATGTTTCTTGTTATTTTCCTTCAGTGCTGTTGAAATAAAAAGTTGTTTGTGTGAACAGTCATACTTTGCTCAACTGCCTGCAAAGGTCAGAAAAGAGCTCATAAAAGCAAATAAAATGCTGCCTCCTGCAGTCGTGCTTGCAGGAAGTGTCAGAGCCAGTGATAATGCTA